TTGCTGTTTTTTTATTTTATATACAAAAACAAAAAGCAAAACAAACCAAAAATAGTCAAATAGAAAAAACGGTGGACAACAGTAGTTCTCCGCTAACTTTTCGAAATAAAACCATTACTCTCCTTGGCCGTTACTTTTCTCCTACTAGAGAGAGGGTTAAATAATTATTTAGTTCGTAGTTGGAGTTTCCTCTGGGGTAAATAAATAGATCTTCTTTTGATTAGTTTGAAAATCAAAATAAATTTTATACGACTTATTTTTAGTATTCGCTTTTATTGAAAGCAAAACAGTACTAGAGAGTAGTATTTACTATTTATTCGTCGAGTCTGGGTGTTCATTGTTCAACTGGTCATCGTTGGGCGTTGGCGATACGAGTCATACAACCGTACACATATTTTGTTCAAAATTATTGTATTTACAAGTCAATAATAAAAAATGTTTGTTTTATAATAAAAAAACAGGCGTTGTTGTCAATTATTTTTAAATTTGGGGTTGTTTTAGAAAACGATAAGAAAAAATACATCACAGTGACGCCGAGTGATGAGTCAACTGAGACAGTTGAGATTCTTGAAGGCTTCTTGGAGTGACTGGGAATGGGTAGTGGGTATCGTTCCATGACCCATGCGGCATGAAGTGGGGCCCGACCATGTGTGAAAATTCAAACATATTTGTCAAAGTTGTTGCTTGCTATTTATGTATGTACATTTAAAAAAAGAAATGTCCATACTCCATACCTGATAATACTGATCAGTGATCATCACATGAGAATTAAGATACCGAATTCCAGAGAGATTGGTGATGGAAGTCATAGCGACCTGAAGTCCTGAACACCGGCGTCCGGCAGGCTACCGGCTAAGCCGCCCTGGCCCCTGGGGCCTGGGCCAGGCGGCCAGCGTTGACAGGCTTTTGACTTTTCTTTGGTCTTTTTCAAAAAATCATATAGGCGGCGAAAGGGCGGCCAGTGTGGACAGACTTTTGGCTTTTTTTTCTTTTTAAGAATCTCGCTCTCTACTCTCTAGTAGAGAGTAGAGCGAGAGAGAAAACTAAAAAGGCACAACAGGCTACTGCTCCCGTGGAACAAAAGGCCACGGCTGACTTCCCCTTCGAGTCACGAACAGTTGTCCATTTTTTATTAATATTTAAAAAAAACAATACGAAGTATAAGAAAGACTAAAGCCCTAAAGTCCCTAACGCAGTCTCAACTCTCAACTCTCACAACAAGGCGTTAGGCCCAGGGCCCCAAGGCCCAGGTATTTGGGAACAGACGAACAGTAGTATTTACCTCTGTTGAGTGTTGACTGTAAAAATATGTACTAAAATACAAAGAGAGTAGAGACCACCACAGCGGCAGCAACTGTACCACTAAATTCCGGGTCGTTCCCCGCGGACCCACGCGGCCACGCGGCCACATACCACACCCACGCCCACGGTCCACCGAGTCACCGACAGTAGAACTGTGCTCTGTCTCTATTTTAAATATTTAACTTTTTAGCATATTTGGGACCCCCCCTTTATCGTGGAGGGAGGGGTGCATGTACTGGGCGGGTGGGGGGGGGGGACCCATATTTAAGAAACATATATTTATGTGTGCTTTTAAAGTGACTTTAGAGATTGAGGTCAGCCTGCCCTGAGGTCCAGCTACATTGGTTTGTTTTAAAAAAAAACAACAAACTGCAGTGATTGTACATAATTACGAATATGACATTTATTTTTTCATACTTATTACTCTTCCAAAGTAAATAATTTTTGGTTCATCAATATTATACTTATAGGTTTTGATTTGCCATTAATCGTTTTAGTACTTTTCAGTATTTTCACTTTTTCAAATCAACTAATTTACACCCTTGATGTATTTTGCCAGAGAGTATTTTTTCATGCTGTATGATAATTAGTATTAGTATATATTATATATATATATATATATATATATATATTAAACAGCCAACAAACAAAGCTGTGTCAAGGAATCACGGACTCACGGGTCACCGGTCACCTGTGTGTGTGTGACTGTCAGTATCGGACACTCGTGAGTCGCGACTGTGTCACCGGCTCACCGCGTGAAGCAAAAGTATGACTGTTTTTTCTTTATCAGAATAATATACAACACTGCGATTGGTTGATGAGAACACCGAATGGCTTCGAGAGACGAGTAGCCATCATATTGAATAATGCTCTGTTGACAGTTCCATGGCATTATGTACTTTTATAACTTGCGATCGATGGACAATGAACTGTCCGCTCGTAACTGAAAAAAAGGCAATCTACCACGCAGGTACGGCATATATAGCGTTCACTCGGAAGCATGTAGATCACAAAAAAAAATTCTCCCACAAAACATGATTCCAAAGTATATTGCGCTCAGTCTCGTTGCGTGTTTGTACGGCGCTACTTTAGGTGCAACAATCAAACGAAGTGATGACTCTAGCATAGATGGCTTTATGTCAGCCCGTGGGCTTATACCTGAGGGTACGTATCAAGACCATGATTTTCCACACTATTTCTATCTAGAAGATGATCAACTGAGCACAAAAGTGATTCAAATTATACTCGATCCTTTCGACACTAATGGGGCTGGCGATTCTGCTAGGCCTCGAAATGAGATAACAAGCGGAGATTGGAGCGACTTCCCCTACAAAATCACCTCGAAGGAGGAGGACCACGATTTTGTAATCCGATTCAAATTCAGAACTGAGCACGAAATAGATACTGGCGGTAGTACCCTGCATGTTTTCCAACTATTTGACGACCACAACCCGAATGCTGTATTGAGCTTTACTGATGATAATGACTTGGTATTCTGGTCCCCAAGCCGCGACCTGTTTGATAAAGTTGTTATTCCATACGAATGGGAACAATGGCTAGATATAGAGATCCGATTTTCTTATGGAAGAAATTGCTATTTTGACATCAACGTAAAGAATTTAGATGGTGACCTTATGAACAGTGCCAAAAATGATATCGGCGAGTACCACATCCAAGACTTCCAAAAACTTAAATTCGGACTATATCAAATCGACGAAAAGGCGCCCCCCATGACATTCATGACGCGATACACGGATATGGAATTCAGCACCGATGATGGCAACTACTACAGATAGAATTGAAAACTTCGAGCAAATTGTTGATAAACTACTCATACGGTTAGCGATGCGATAGCGATATATTTGCATCAAGCCAAGACCGTCTAGCAGACCATCACACTCGACCGTGGTCTGCAACGATATCAAATCAGCTTGTGCGCATCCTAACGTTACTCATTTAAATAAATTTAATAGCTGACCTATGTTTCATAGTCATTCCGACGCCCCAGCTCTATATGTCGCCTAAAGTCCGTTACACGAATATTCTGTCGAAACTTTCCATGCTCTGTACAGTATCAATCAAAGACAGTTCGAACAGATGGTTTGAACATCTCTTACACGATTCAACGAACGTGCATATTTTGATAAAAGTGTATCTGCTTCCACTTTATATGTGGCAACCACACATATACAAAACATCAGTAGATCGAGACACGCCTGATTGAATTAACCAATTGAATCATCAACTAGCATGTTCTATATAAAAAGTCATAGATCCATTCTTTCTCGTTTTATAGAAAGCTCGGTATGCACGCACGCTCAGAATAACGTCCCGTCGAAAAGCGGCCCAGAAAGTGCAGAAAGCCCTAAATAAATCAGTTGTTGCATCAATTAATGGGGGAAAATAGGTCAAGAGAAAAGTAGCTTGCATGGAAGGGCACGTGCGTTCTTTGACGCACTTGAGGCAAGAAGCCGATAAAAAGCATCAATATTACACAAAAATGCAGGTTTCATAGTTTGACTGAATAACCCAGTCTAGTATATTTATACTTGTAGTTTATAGGTTCAGAGCACCGCCTGCCAGTAGCTTATTCTGATTTGTCACCGATCCAAGCAATTAGAGCTGTATTGGTGCGTGACCACGAGATGCTGCCGTCGGTCATTTTCAGACATGAATTTTATGTGCACAGCCTTCTGTGAAACATGGTAGAAGTAGTTAGACTTTGCAGGCCCGCCCGTGATAAACAAACTTGCTACATATACATTCAAAATTCGAGTATTGGCTTTGCTAGTGCGATTTGATGGATGTAAATGAGAGAATGTATCTCATCAGAAAACTGACGTATGCGTCAGCAACAGGTGCAGATACCTAGTTTTAACTTCAATCTCATGATATTTCACTTCACATCCACTACACCAACTGCATTTATCAAATACCGAATTGACGCACATCTGAATCAGGATATTCTTATGGGAATAATTGTGTTCGAGTACGGGGAGAGCCTACATACGGTTTTGCATAAGGTGTGTAATACTAAAAAATTAATGCGGACTTGGAGGTTGATGACTTAAGAATATAACTTGTGAGTGTAGCTGGCCCAAATTCAGTCTCATCCGAAGGCTTTAGTGAATCATAAGCGTCTTCGTACACTTAAAAGTTTAGTAACTCAATCATATCCCGTTTCTACACCGAACAATTCGTGTATATACAACATATATACACAGCTACACTTCCAAATTTAAAACTCGCATAGTACTCCGCTTAGAGCCAACATTCACACCTCGAGAGTATCTTCATCGAACACGAGTAAAGGCAAAACTCATCTCGACACATACGCATGCTGCATGAAGTATGCCTACACTTTGCAAACGATCAATAGAAAGTTATAATATTGATACAGTACACACTCCAACTGGAATTCGACGCATCTGAATCGTTCACCGGTCGTGCTTAAATACATATAGATACGCTCCACTATCCTTTAGTAGACAGAGGAATTGTGAGCAACTTCGCCGATATTTGTAAGGTGATCTCAGCTAAAGTAAAAAACTTTCAAAATCTACATCCAACCAGCGAGGTCTTGTTGCACCAGCAAACACAGATAAACCCGCCACTATAGCTGAACAAAAAAAAGTATAGATTAAGCATTCCAAAGTACACACGTACATGAGTATTCAACTACATACTCGTATAATATATATAACAGCTATGCATGCGTATTCAACTATCTACCGCTATAACCATCAACCGCTGACGTACAAAGTTGGGGCATATATGTATATATATATATATACAAATAAACACACACAAATACATATATATATACATATATATATATATAGATTAATACATATAAACGTATATATATGTATATACATATATTTAAATATATATATATATCTGTTTATACATATATATCTGTTT